TCTATCTTTTTATTTTCTTCAACGAATTAAAAGTGCATTTTTCATAAGAAAAAAAGAAGAGGAAAACAAACAATAAATTCGTTATTTGTATTTTTTCTATATAATTAAAAAAACCATTCCCTATTTTTGAAATGATTCTTTTTTCATGTTTTCACAAACCATTATATATGCATACATAAAATAATTATTACCGATATTATATTACGATTTTATCATTTACTTAATATATTATATAAGGACCTGAATAAAGTATATTGTCTTCTTCCTTCCTTATGTTAGTAGGATTTGGAAGGATTTCACATGCCTAAAGAATACTAAATAAGATCAAACTTTTATTTGTAACACAAACTCTTGGCCCTTAATGTTTCTTTGTCAAACTTTTATATGTATATAGATCAAATTTTGTTATGTAGATTGATGATTAGTTAAAAACTTCATGCTACACCATATTGGAATGAGCCTGCCTTTTACTTTATTTCATTTTTTATATACTAGATAATGTTAAAATGCATCGTGGATATATTTAACCTTCGAGTCCTTATTTGTTATGTTTATGTAACCTAGAATAACATAGTATTTCGAGTGATATTATCGTTTTCCTCTATTTTTTATGGTATCTCCAATATATATGTGTTGAGTGTATGTCAAAGTACTACTTGTGATTTTCTCTATAATAATTTAACCCGTGTTTTTTTTAATCATTTACTTTCATGTGTTTCATGTGTTTATTTTTAATTTTCAATCACTTATCCTTATGTGTTTCTATTTTTAATCACTTATCTCTTTTGTGATTTTTTTTATTGTACATGGAGGCAAAATAAATATATTTGCCAAAATTTTAACGATGTTATAAAAATGGACAAGAATAGAAAAAATTACAGGGAAGGTAAGTGATTAAAAAATATATAATGATAAGTTATTTTGGTAGAAAACATCGGGTGTTTGGTAGGGGTGATAAACGAGCCAGGGGCCTTTCGGGGGCCTTTGGCTCGGCTCGTGAAGGCTCAGGCTTACATGCCTAATATTGGTTGTTGGAACCAGGCTTGGAAGGCCTCAGGCTCCAATTCAAAAGCTCGGCCTTAGAGCCTCTCAGACTGGCCTATTATACTATTTTTTATTTTTATTTATATTTTTTATACTATTTATAATAGTCATTTCTCACCTATCAATCCATTTCACCTCTATTTTATTAGTTAAATAGACTTTTTGAATGATTTTATTCTATATTATGTTGTTTCGATATACATTGAATTTATAAATAGTTATAGAATTACTAGTGTTGTTGATTGTATATTCTGTTTGGATAAATTTTTATTGTCTTATTTTTTTCTAACTGGCTAACAAGCCAAATCAGGCTTTTGTTTTTTGTAAATAAGGCAGGCCACATGCCGATAATTATATTCGTAACAGGTAACAGGCTTGGTAAGGTCGACACATTTAATCACAAACTTAACCTTTTAAGACCAAAACTCGGCTCGACTCGTTAACACCCCTAGTGTTTGGAACTCCCCCCCCCCCTAAATGTTAAATGTAATTACATTTTCATATAATATTTTATTTGTTAGATGTTAAAACATATCTTTAAAATATAATATTACTCTCTGATTTTTTTTTAAAATTTTTGTTAAACATTATAGGGCACTAACTCCGGCTTTTTGACCCTTATGACCCTTAATTAATAATTAATTACCAAATTGCCCTTCATTCAAAACTATTTCGAAAATTTACCCTCCCCAACAAACATAACACCAATCTGCCCCTGTTTGACCGTTGACCACGAAGCCTACCCGGGTACACCATTACCTACCCGGGTAAATTTTGAAAATTTTTTATCTACCCGAGTATGTAGGAGTGTACCCGGGTAGAGTTCTTGAATCTGGGAAAATGGTTGAATTATTTACCCGGGTATGGATCAGTGTACCCGGGTAAATCGCGTCCAGAAACCCCAATATGATATGGGTTTCGGCCATTGTTGCGAGGTATAGGGTTTTTGAAACCCCAAATCTCTCTCTCTCTTACCCTCTCTAATCCGAAACATCACACATATTTCATCTCATCATTTCAGAAAGCTGAATCTTGGTGGGACATTGAGATTACATCTTCACACTCCCATTTTGTGCTCAAAAATCCGAACCAACCTCCAAACCCAAAACCTAGATCTAATTTTTGTGTGAAAGATGAGTTCAAGTCCAAACATGGTTCCTATAGTTATTTACTACAATGGGAGGCATTTTGAAGGTCCGAACAGTGTCCGATTTGAAGGAAAAACAAAAACGATGAAAATCAAAGTGGGCACTACATGCAAATAACTGAAGGAGAGAATTCTTCAAAAAATGGGGTCAGAAGGCATACATTCCATCCACCGCATGATAGCCAGGTTAGAGACTGTAGTGGATATGGATACAATATACTACATTGGAAACGATATAAATGATGATGAAGATGTGGAGTTCGTAACAGATGCGTTTGTTGAATGGAAAGTATTAAAATATATTGAGATATATGTTGAAGTTGATGTTGGACAATCTTCATCTTTACCGGTGCATACAACCACTACTGCACACTGTACCGGTCAAGAAGATACAGTTGTACGATCTTCTGCACCTCCTCAAGTAGCATTGGATGAGGATGAAGAGGATGAAGACGAGGACTATGTGGACAGCGAAGATGAGGGAGAACCTGAAAGTGCTATTCCAGAAGGTGATTCGTCAGACACTGACGTGGACGGTAATTTTGAGGCTGACATGAGCGCCGTAAGTCTCGGTACCCCAGCCTTGTCACCACTTCATGTCGACCCAGTCAGTAGTGGTAAGTTATTAAATTTGAACATTTGCTTTAGACAATTTATTATTTGTGGTTGTATTCATTCAGACAAATGAGAGTTGATCTTTAGATGCAGGGTCTGAGGAGCCATTCTGGAATGAAAGCCAACATTATTCATTCATTAATTGGGCGCACCCTAATGACGAGTTGGAGATCCTATATGGCGATGATGACTTGCACGGAGGTTGGAAGTTAGGAGATCCGTTATTTGTGCAACAAGAATTTGGGCCCAAACCAGAATTGCAACATGCTGTGAAGATACATTGTATGAAGGGGCGCAGGACAGCCATAGTTGAAAAAAGCGACGAGTCAAGATTTGTTATAACTGTGAAGGAGGGCCCACAGGATGACAAAGTCCCCTTCCAGCACCTTTGAGTGATTATGCGGGCGCTGGAAAATAATATGTGTCACCACATAATGAAGAATGCGAGCAGAAACTGACAAATTGCTAACAGGATAATGAGCAAAATGACCGGGCTCAGCGTCTGCCCTCCTAGTCTCTGTAACAATGGTCTCCCGGTTATAATCACCAAATATATGATGGCTGTCTCCATCATATAGTGCTGCTCCTGTGACACCATCAAAATCGAACCCCAGTAGCTCCGTCCAGATAGGAGCAGTCATGATGATATCAATCCCGCAGACACGGGAAGTCAGCTCGCCTTGCGAGTAGCCAAGGTTCTGGTAGAAGGCTCTTACCATAACCTCCGAGTATGGGCACCGCATCTCCGCCAGGAGAAGTAAATGTGTCTGCTCAAGAAGCGGCACAATGTCAAAACGCTCTAGGTTGAAGAATGCCGAATCCAGTGATTTCGGTTCGCAGATCTTCCGGGTCATGAAAAACTTCACGAACTTCTCGTGTGAAGGTATGTCATCCTCAAACAAATATCCGAACGTCAAGTCCGGAGCCTGACTCGAAGCAGCCTGGGGCTGAGAGGATGACGACCCATCGTGACGACTCTTGGTTCTTCTCTCGGAATGGGTCACTGGCAGCTTTGAAACGCGTCGAGAGGTCATTGTGTCACACTATTAAACTGAAAAAATAATCAAAATCAGAAATTAGATACATGTTAGGGTTAGGGTTAGGGTTAGGGTTAGGGTTAGATTCAGGGTTAGGGTTAGGGTTAGGGTAAGCGTATGACATACAAATTGATAAAATAATTCGGACAGAATCAAATGATATAAACGAAAATACAATGAATCAGAACAGAAATCATAACATAATTGAAAAAACTGAAGAAAAAAAATGCACCTTTGATCGATTTCAATCGGTAGAAGGCAGAGAGGTTGCAAGGTCCGCGAATGATGATCAGAAACAAGACGAATTGGTGCAAGATTATGCCTGAAATCGCTCAAGAAGACACTCCTCCAGCAGCTCTACTCGGGTACCCCTTTTGTGGGTTTTCGAAATGGGGCTGCTGGGGTATTTTAAAACCCTACCGTCGATGTTTACCCGGGTACACTGATCCTTACCCGGGTAAATAATTCAACCATTTTCCCAGATTCAAGAACTCTACCCGGGTACACCCCTACATACTCGGGTAGATAAAAAGTTTCAAAATTTACCCGGGTAGGTAATGGTGTACCCGGGTAGGCTTCGTGGTCAACGGTCAAACAGGGGCAGATTGGTGTTATGTTTGTTGGGGAGGGTAAATTTTCGAAATAGTTTTGAATGAAGGGCAATTTGGTAATTAGTTATTAATTAAGGGTCATAAGGGTCAAAAAGCCCACTAACTCCTTATAACCATCTAATCAAATTAACGATGCTTATAGATAAAACTTAAGTGTAATAATAACCGAATCTTATTCTTAAGAAAAATAATAAAATTAAAACCTTAAAAAATTGTTAAAAAAAATGAACAACGTTTGACTAAACTTGTGTTGCCATTTAACACATATCATCTAATTGGCTGATCAAAATAGTAATAGTAAAAATAACAACCATTTATTAAAGGAATTTGTTTGTGTTAACTTCTAATTAGTGTATTTTTATGACAGATGGTGGTACCATAAAAGTTTATCATTCCCTACTTTAATTTTCGATTCGAAATTACATCCCTTGGTGTAAACTTATTTCCTAGTATGCACAGCTAGGAATCGAAGATATAACAAAAGAAAATGGAGGAATGCCAAGAATTTACTTGATTTAGAAACTCAAGATTAGTGAGTTTCCAACATCAAGGGTAAAGGGGTTAAAATCCCTTGGCTATTTGCATTAATATAAAATTGATGAATATACAAGGTTTAGGCACACCAATACATGTGCCAATTAAACACATAAACCAAAAGCCCCAAATCATGCATAACCCGAAGAACCCTAGATTACAAATCAAAATGCAAAACCAGAAAATAGAGGTGTAACAACCAAACCACAGCAATGGATAGGTAAAAACAAGAGCTCAGACACCCGAAGCTCTTTAACACAACAACTTCAAGTTTCCTTCTTCACTCGCTTGTCTGCAACCTTGGAACGAGAGAAATGTCCATGAAAGTACCACACCTCAACTTGCAACACTGAACCGTGAAGCAAAAACACCAAATCTAGGCAATATTGAACCAAGAACACAATTAGCACAAGAATTGTTTTCTTAAAGAAAAAACCCCAGCGGAGAGCTTTTGTGAACCTTCAAGAATAAGAGAGTAAAACTAAGAGAGAGAAAATTGAATAAGTATATGTAAATTAGGGGTGTAAATTGGCTGGGCTGGGCTTTGGCCATCCTGGCCCAAGCCTACGTCAAAAAAAATTCATTCTATCTGGCCTACTGACCTATAAAAAGCTTTATTTGTAGGCTAAGCCCGACTCATTTTAAAAAATAAGAAAGCCTGACATAGCCTACAGGCCTTGTAGGCCTCCCACTATATATACTAAACAAAAAAAATAATTGTATAGAGCAAAGAAAGTTCCATTCATGCATGCACTAGTACTTCTCATAAGAAAAAAAATGACAAACAAAAAAGAGTCAACATAATACCTCAGCTCTAGAATCTATATCATAGAGGAATAGAGTCAAAGAAATGAAAAAAATAGGAAAAATAAGAAACATACAATTACTAGATGCTGAAATAAAGTCTACAAGAGAATGTCATTCATATAAAAATCTTTAAACCACCATCAAGACAAGGGAAATAAGAATATTATTGAAAGATCTTCATCAGTAACATCATAATCCAGCAAGGTACCCACTGCTCCATGGTATTAAGCTGCAACAACATGTAAAATTTGGAGACATTAGACAAGTTTTTCTTTCATAAAATAAAATAGCACAAAAAGTAAGATATTGGTATTTGGTACTTTGTGTCTTTGCCACATAAAATAAATATTATTTTATTATTTTATTTTAATAAATTAAATAGGCCAGCCTACAAGGCTGTAGGCCGGGCTTGACAAAATTGGCCTATGGCCTATTTATTAAAAAAACTTTTTTTATAAGCCTAAACCTACTCTACTTTTCTGAAAGGCTGGGCCTGAGCTGGGCTCAATGTAGGCCGGGCTGTAGGCTGGGCTGGGCCAGCCAGCCCATTTACACCCCTATGTAAAACAAAACATGATGGTGTGTTAAAAATAGGTCATGTGATAGTATATGTAATATACCAATATCAGCTATCATCAAACAGAAAAATACCAAAGCTAAACGGTGCGTTTAACTAACATCTAACATGGAAAAATAATGCACACACAAATAAATGATGATAATATGCTTTGTATGATACACACACAACAAACTCCACCTTATTATGCAAAGCACATTTTCATGCAATAGTCAGAAAATGGGATCTTAATCCCTTCACCATCTAAACAAGTTTACACTGAAACCTTTAGCAAATTCAAGGCTTCCCTAAACTTACTAACTGGGACAACCTTTGTCAAGATGTCAACTGGGTTCCAAATTGTTGAGATTTTCTCCACCTTGCCTTGCCAATTAGAGACTATGTCTCTAATAAAATGTAACATAATATCTACGTGCTTTGTCCTTTCATGGAAAGCACAATTCTTAGAGGTCGTTTGGTTCACCTTTAAAAAAAAAGTAACTTTTACTACTTCCTTATTTTTAAAGTATTTTTTACAAAAGTTAAAGCTATTTATATTTTTATAAAAATATTTAGTTTTTTAAAAAAATATTTGGCTTTTGACTTCTACTTTTCTGAGAAGTTAAAAATTTTAGCTTCTGAGAAAAGTAGGTTTTTAGCTTTTTTTGTGACTTCTCCTTTTTTTAAAAGCAGACATCCAAATGAACTAAAAACGAAAAGTGCTTTTTTTCTTAATAAAAAGCAGCTTTTGAAGAAAAAAAAGCTCATCCAAACAGGCCCTTAGACAAATGTATAGAACTTTGAGAGTCATAATATACCTTTGGAGTACACTTACTAAAGCCCAAATCTGAAATTATACCTTTCAACCAAAGTGCTTCATTAACTACTTCAGTCAAAGTCGTATATTCGGCTTCTGTGGTTGACAATGTCATTATTGTTAGAGGTTGGACTTCCAACTCACCATATTGAAAGAAAATGGCCTTGAAGGCCGATGGCATGTGAGGATGAAAACAAAAAATTTTCAAAGCGGAATCACACATGCTAATCAAGATACATGCTTTAAGACAGTATGTGTACCTTGTTCGTGATTCAAAACTCCAAGATGATCAGTGTTAGGTTTGAAGTTTCAAACCCTCTAACGTTGATCCACACCACCCTACGTCAAGATACATGAACCCTTCTTGAAAAGCCACCAAACGAACACCACAAGGAAGGCACTTTAGGCGTCCTAATAGGAGAAGAAGGAGGCAAGGTTAATGTATTTAGATGAGTGAATTTTTCAGCATGAAAAACTCACAAAGTGGCGCATGGATTCTATGAGAAAAGGCTAGGTCATTTTCAAAAAAACCCTAAAGAGAACCTCACAAAAGGAAGCACACTTGGAGATGAGAGAATGATTGAATTGAATTAGATTTTTCTTCCAAAAATCTGACCTATGTAGCGCACAATGGTGGAGGAATAAGTGGAGTTGTTGCAATTCAAATCTAGCCAACAACCTCCTATCATGTCCTTATGAGACTAAGTCTATACCTAGTAAAAAATCTGACTTAATAACCATCATATGGCCAGCCATATGGTGCGCCCTTATTCAGCCCAAAAAGAGTCCAAATACATTGAGTAATTGCATTCAAATTTGATCCAACTCACTCACTTATTCTTTCAACCAATCAAATCTGATTGGAGCTTATTTGGTTGATCATATGACCATCATAAGACCCCAAAATCAGCGCCCCAAATCAGCCTTGAATGATGCCCAAAGATCTACTCTTGATACTTGGAATTTGTTCTAACAAGATCTTATCTTATCCTTTTGGCATGAAATTGAAAAGTAAAGTAATTTTTTTTGCATGAAAAGTCAAATTTCAATTATAGAAATAATAGTTTGGATAATGATGACAACAAGAAAGCCAAACTTTTGAAACTTAATCTTGAAAAGAACAAGTTATCTTGCAAACTCATTGTATATAACTATTGTGATAATTTAGGACATATTTCTCATTTGTGCAGTTATAGACAATTCTTATGTAAGAAATAAGATTATTTGGGTTGCTAAAGCTCCTATGAATCCTAATGCGCAAATACTCGTAATGTCCTTGTAATGTTTCAAGTACACAGAAAATTACTCGAAAGGATAGACAAAAGTGTCAAGAGAAAAAGTAATCATCAAGGAGAATGTCTCCTAGATCAATGACATAATTACCAAACAAAGAAGGGATAATACTTTAACCAAAGCTTCTCATACACATAAGATGGAACCCAGAAGGTTGAAAATTCAAAGAGAGAAGTAATGTGTAAGAAAAAGTATTTACTTGATTACCAAGGCCAGGGTATCTAATGATTTAACTTTTCATGTACATTCACTTACAAAATTATTGAACTTGAAGTATATTTCTTGTAGGCCTTAGGTAATCGATAGAATCATGTGTTCTTGATAAAATATTGCAAAATATGGAACATTTAGGATTGGTTGGATGGTAAAATGCAATATCTCAGTGCTGAACAAAATGATTTAGTGGGATCTTTAGGGGAACTCAAATGAAATGAAAAAAAATGAAATTTTGATCATGTATGGAGATAATGTTTTCCTTCATTGGGAGGAAGATATTTGAGATAGGAGAAAACTTAGAAAAACTTAGATGGAAAACACCACTTTTATTTCTTCTTAATACTTTTTATTTTTCACTTTATGTAAAATGGTGGATAACACACTTACTTATATTTGTGGTACCTCCTTACCCAATGGCTAAGGTTATGCCAACACATTTTCCATCTAAAGGCTACAAATGAATTTATACAAATTTCCATAATCTCCGTGAAAACATTAATGATGGTAGGTGCAACTATTTTCTATAACACTCATAGAATAGTTTTGATAACTCTAGAAAATGGGCTAAAATGATCTTAAAGATATTTTTAGAGGTTGGGCAAATTTTTTTTTGAGTCCAATGAATAAAAAAATGGTTCATTATTCAATACCCCTATATACTTGATTTTGCAACTCCAAAGAGTCTTCTCTTAATGAAAAAATTATCATTATTGAATGGCTAGGTGAATATTTACTTTACTTGTTCTATATCCAAGAATACTTTATATGCACGCCTTTTCTTGCAATGCATTCCTTTATATAATAATTGTGGTGTATCAATGACGTTATATCCCGAAAAATAAGATTCTTTGCTAATGTTGTTGCAAATTTGTTGTCAATATAAATATTGGTTGGGTCAACAGCATGATAAACAAATAATGTAGTTGTGTCATACCCGGCTTCATAAGTGAAAGGGTGAAAATAAATTGTTTCTTTGAGACCCATGTTGAAGCAGTACCTTCCATGAAGAACACATACCGGGTGATCCAACGACAATATTACTGGCTAATTAATAAACCATCAAATTTCCTTAAGAAATCTATTAATTAAAAATCCAAGCAAAAATATGAAGTCATGTATAATCAAAGAGTGTTAATTAATAAAATTTTGGATTTAAATATCGATTCAAATGTAGCTGTAATTTTTTTTTTAATATATAGATGTTATGACGACAACTATCAAATGCCTCAGATTTGTCATTTACTAAAACAGTTTATAACCATGAAAAAAATTAAATTTTAAATTTTTTTTACTGAAAAAAATTAAATTTTAAATTTTTTTTACTGAAAAAATTAAAAGTATTAATGCAACAAAATATTTCCTTACACTCGTCTCTTAGTATAATCTTCATTATAATGAAGGTCAAAAATTAAAGGAAAACAAAAATGAGAGATTAAGAAAATTCCAAAAGAAAAAAAACTAACGTGTGCAATTGCGCAATATTTGGTTCAAATGTAGCTCTTAAAGATAACTTTTGAGTAGGGGTGTCAAAACATGTTATGACCCATTTGTGTCATGTTCATGTTGATAAAACATGACACGCAAAAAATTTGTGTCATGTCGCATGTCATGTCTTGTCAACACGAATTTGACCTATTATTTTTTAATTTTGACCCATTTTTCTAATTTGTTTTGGTCAATTATCATTTTGACCTATAGTTTAGGTGTCATTTGTGTCGTGTCGCGTCAACCCACAAAATTTATGAGTTGTGTTCGTGTTTAAGATTCTTACATGAATAAAAATTCGTGTTATGTTCATGTTGCGTATATTCTTGTCATGTTATGTTGACTTATTTTGACATCCCTACTTTTAAGTACAAAGGCAGGAGAAACATTCTCTCCATACATGATTGAAATTTTATTTTATTTATTTTCATTTGAGTTGGCCAGAGACGCCACCTAATTGTTTTATTCAGTACTAAGATCTTGCATTTAACCTTCCAACCAGTTGTAACTATTCCTTGTCTTCAAAACCCCCTTTAGATATTTCTCTCTTGCTTTCTGATCATATGTTTGATCTTGATCCTCTACGGGTTCATGATAGTGCCACCTTCCTATGGGTTTTTTTTCATTTGAATAAGACCTTGTCACAGGCTTGATAGAAGTGTGAGTAAAAAAAAACCAAGGCAAAACAAAAATGAAAGATTAAGAAAATCAAGAATGAAAAAGATGATTTTATCTCTTTCACAAAGCGAAAATTCACAATAAGACCAGAGTTAAAAATACGTTGTGCAGCTAACGTTGACATACTCATTAGCCCCACAATGTTTTTAACTCTGTATCCTTCTTGTGAATGCCAGATATTCGTTTTGTAAAAGTAATTAAAATATCTTTTTATTCTGGCTTTTCTTGATCTTTCATTTTTATTTTCTTTGGTTTTATTAGCCTCCATTCTAATGAATATTATATTACGAGATGAGAGTAAAGAAGCCATACAACAATGCAACTTTATTTGGCTTGAGAATTTTTTAAAGACTAAGAAAAGTTTGCTGCATTAATACTATTTTAGTTTTTCAGTAAAATAGATTCAGAATTTAATTTTATTTTATGCTTATAAATCATTTTAGTAAATGACGAATCTGAGATATATGGTAGTTGTCAATAAATAAATAAATATGTATATATATATATATATATTGGAAACTTGAAGTTTAGAACTCCAAACACCAAGCCAGAATTGAACGAGGCATATAACAGAAAAAAGAGATACAAGAAACACAACATATAAAATTTTTTTGCTTGGTTCAATTATTGATCTTGCTATCAAGATTCTATATCCAAGGGTCAAAATGGAAACTTCTCTATTCTTGCGATTTTATTATGTCCAATTAACAATTGACAAAGACAGAGATACAGATATAGAACGAAGAAACACAAATTCAAAGGTAATCAAAACAGTAACAAAGAACAAATCAAGATTCGAAAAAGTACACTATGAACACTAATCAAACCAGGTATATAGCAGGCTCAAACAATAGTTACCACGCAAGGCAACCTCTGAGCACGATTGGAAGAATTCCTCAAGACTCCATTGGATTGTTAACCAGCATTTTACATCGCCAATCTTTGACCAAGAACCACCTAAACAAAGGGCTTCTTGATCTGCAACACAAATAGGTTAGAACCTAAAAACAAGTACCCTCCACAAACTAGGATCAACCACCTCACACTCTCAGCTTAACGCACAAAACAAGGGAAGCACCCTAAACTTTTTCTCACACACAGAACATGCACCTATACTCTGAGAGAAGAAAACCCTAGCTCTAGAATATTCAAAAGAAAAATATCTCATCTGATCAGATAATGGACAACAAGCGTAACAAGTAAGCCACTCACACAAAAATGATAAGGGCAATATAGTAAAACACATGATCAGGTGTGAAAGAAAAGAATAAAAGAGGGTCGTGGGTACTATTAGTAAGGCCATATGGGCCAAGTGTTAAAGCAACCCACAAATTAGATTTTTTTAAAGTACCTATATACATATATTAACAATTAAAGTTATATTTGATTCAACAAGTAAATCCAAATTTTATTAATTAATACTCTTTAATGATACATTACTTTTTATATTTTACATTCAATTTTCAATAAATTGATTTCTTAAGGACATTTGATGGTTTAGTATATAGCCAATAATTTTGTCGTTCGACCATTGGGTACGTGTTTTTCACAGAAGATACTACTTTAACATTGATTTTAAAGAAACAATCTATTGTCACATTTTTCACTTATGAAGTCAAGTTTGCCACAACTACATCATTTGTCTATGATGTCATTTGGCTTAAGAACTTGGTGAAGGAGTTGACGAATATGCATAAAGAAGACCCAACCAGTATTTAAATTGACAACAAATCTAAAACAACATTAACAAAGAATCATGTCTTTCAAGATAGAACGACATTGATACACCACAATCAATATATAAGGGAATGCGTTGCAAGAAAAGGCGTGCATATAAAATATTTTTAGTCATAAGAACAAGGAAAGTAAATATGCACCAAGCCGAATTATAATTTTGTCATTATGAGAAGACTCTTTGGAGTTGTTGTAATGACCCTAAATTAAAAAATTAAAACAATAACAATGGAGTCGCCACCAATTTTATTTAATTTGGAAAAATTGGAAAATCCATTATAGCAAATCGGTTTGTAAAATTATAGAACAAAGGTCCAGGAGTCTAATTATGTGCAAGAAAGGGTGAAAACTTAATCTCACTGCACCCCTGACACATCCGTTTTAAAATAGTTACCTTAAATTAATTGTGCGAATTATTAATAGCTTTTAAAAATATTTATTTTTCCCTAAAATATAAATAGGATTAAGAAGAGAAATAATTTATTAAACTTTATTTTAGCTTGACGGAAACAGTTTCGCTCCGACGTATCCTCAGGTGCAGCGAGGAATTCAAAGCTACGTCGTTCTTAAAAATTATTTGTGTACTGGTTGGTTTTATTTTTGAAAATAATTTTAAAGAAATTATTTTAAAGGCTTTGGATTACCAAGTTGTCACAACTAAAATAACCCGAAAAATACTACGAGATTAACAAACAGTCACGGTTAAGTTAATCCTTAATTAGGAAAAATAATTAATTAATATAAAATAATAATTTAAAACTAGCTTGGGTCACCAAGCTATCACAGCCAAAATGACTCAAAAAAATTATGAGATTAAAAAGTCATCACGGCAAAATTAATCCCTAATTAAGTTTCTAAACTACATAAGAAAAATTCTAATAAAACAAATAAAGAACACACAAAGGTAATAAACAATTATAAGAAAATTTCTAATAAAATAGATAAAGAGCATAAAAAAAGCATGCAAAAAATAGCCAATTATAAATTAAAAAAACAAATAAAGAGCATAAAAATAGACAATTATAAACTAATAAAGCAAATAAAGAGCATGAAATACAAAAATAATTAACTAAAGGAGAAGGTAAGGAGACTTACCTCAAAGACGACAAAACTTGGAGTACAGAGTCAAGTTGTGGAGAATAGCCTCAACTCAACAAGCTTGATGCCCTAAAAATGTACAATGAGGTTAACAAGCCGTTACAGCTAAATTAATCCTCACAAATAAATAAGTTAACAAGTCGTCACGGTCAAATTAACAAACTCCCTTAATTCTACTAAAAACGAAATTTTTACTTTGACACTAACTTGATTTTAATACCAAGGCCAAGTATCTTTAAAAAATACTATTATGACATAAGCTTTAATATAAAGCCCAAGTGTCTATTTAACTCTTGCAAGAGATTTTTTGTGTTTTTTATTTGATTCTCTCCAAAGGGTGTGTGTTGGAAGGAAGGGGAATGAGCTCTTTATATAGAGGGAAAGGAGGAGGAAGGAATAAGAAGTGGGCAATGTGGGACTTCTTAGGAAAGTTATTTTTTTTAATGTGGACAGCCATTTTTTGACAACCATATCTCACACTAGAGGGCATAACTTGAAAATCGGTTCGGTTAAGTTGAAGTATCATATGAGAGGAATATGCCGACCAAATTTGAGGATGATCCAACGGTTCAATTGAGAGAAATAGCTCTCGGAAAACTGCTACTTGAAACAGTGTGGTGGTCCCAAAAATGAACAACCCTCTTTTTATTTTTATTTTTTGTCATTTTTAAATATTTGGGACAAAATTAGGTGTTCACAGTTGCAAAATCAAGTTTAAAGGGGTGTTGAATAATGAACTATTTTTTGATTCATTGGACTCAAAAGTTATTTAGCCCAACCTCTAAAAATATCTGTAAGAGCTTTTTAGCTCATTTTCTATAGTAATCTGGACTATCCTATGAGTGTTGTAGAAAATAGTTGCACCTACCATCATTAATGTTTTCACTAGAGATTATGAAAATATGTATAAATTCATTTGTAGCCTTTATATCGGAAATGTGCTGGCATAATCTTAACCATTGGTTAAGGAGGTGCCACAAGTACAAATAGGTGTATTCTCCACCATTTTGCATTAAGTAAAAAAGAAAGAGTATTGAGAATAAATAAATGTGGTATCTTCCATCGAAGTTTTCTCCTATCTCAAATATCCTCCTCCCAACAAAGGCAAGAAAAACATTCTCTCCATACATGATCAAAATTTCATGTTTTTATTTCATTTTGGTTCCCTTAGAGATGCCACCAAATCATTTTGTTCAGTACTAAGATCATGTTGTTAACCTTCCAACCAGCAGTAACTATTCCTTGTCTCCAAAACCCCGTTGGATATTTCTCTCGTGCTTTCTCATCATATGTTTGTTCTTGATCCTCCACGAGCTTATGATAAATGCCACCTTCTGATAGGTGTTTTTCATTTGAACAAGATCTTGTCATGGGTCGTGGGTAAAAAAAAAAAAACAATGCAAAAAAAATGAGAGATTAAGAAAATCGCGAATGAAAAAGATCTTTTTATCTCTTTCCCAAAGCGAAAATTCGGCATTCACAATTGATATACTCGTGAGCCCCATAGTGTTTTTAACTCTGTGGCTTTCTTGTGAATGTCATATATTCATTTTGTAAAAGTAGTTAAAAATCTTTTTATTCTAAATTTTCTTGATCTCTCATTTTTGTTTTCCTCTGGATTTATTAGCATCCATTCTAATGAAGATTATATTAAGAGTTGAGAATAAGGAAGCTCTACATCGATACAACTTTATTTGGCTTGAGAAATTATTTAGCTTGGATAATAAAAAATCATTAAAGCTAAATAATTAAAAAAAAACATAGGGATATAAGTGATTTAAAGCACAGACACTACAAGAAAAAAGGGATACCGAGTCGGTGTCTTGATGGCTATTTTAAAAACCGACCCTAAGTCTTTCTCTCTCTCTCTTTTTCTCTCTCTTTCTCGACCTGGTGTTGCTAGAAAGCCTAGAATCCTTTGGGAAGTGAAGTCCATCTCTGAATGGCCACTCTTTATTTCTCTTTTCAGCGAAAACCTTCAAGGTATCTTCCTCCTCCTTTGAATCCTTTCTTTCCTCCCTGATTCGTTCTTTTATTTTTTATTTTAAGAGAGTTTTGTTATTTTGTTTAATCTTTTGGGGTTTTGAATTTCTTTCCTAAAAATTTTACAGTACTCGAGATTTGTATGAAATTCATTCTGTTAGGTTTTTATTTAAGGCAATTGATTATGATCTTGCAATTTTGGATTTGAATAGATTCGTGTTCGTAGCTGTATTTTGAACACTAATGAAATTTCTAGATCTGTAATTGAAAATCTTGCAATTTTGTTTTGTTCTTGAGTTTTTTTCATCGGAACTGTTAAGATAACGGATCTTGAAATTTCTGGATCTGTTATTTTGTTATTGAAATTTTGAAGTTATATGATTCTTAGGGTTTATGTCGTTTGGTTTATTTATATATTTCTCTGATGAATGTGTAGATGCAAATATTCGTTAAGACTCTCACCGGAAAGACAATCACCCTTGAGGTGGAGAGTTACGACACCATCGACTAAGTTAAAGCCAAGATCCAGGACAAGGAAGGGATCCCACCCGACCAGCAGGGTCTGATCTTCGCCGGCAAGCAGGTGGAGGATGGTCGCACCCTGGCCGACTACAACATCCAAATGGAGGTTCTGGTCCTCCGTCTCCGTGGGTATAATAAAAATTCTCTTTAGGTTCATTTTTGGTTCATTTTGCAGCACATTTAGGTAGTTCCTTTAGCAGAAATGTAGTTGAGAAATTCTCTTTCTATTATACAGTGGGTTTTGAATAAGTAAAGAGTGCATTTATACATGATCTAAACTGTACCTAGATTTTTCCTTCATTTTTGGTTTTTCAATTATAGTGTTAACAATTACACATGAATAACAATTACACACTTTTCATCATTCCAAATATCTTGTTTTTGCTTCTGCTTTGTTTGTGTAAATGCAATACCCATGAATTGGATTTTTGTGCAGAAGATCTTTGCTGAAGCTCTTGGCCAAGGAACCATAGAGGGCTTCTTCAAGTTAATATCATACTACCAGACACAATCTGAACCTGCTTATTGTGGTATCGCAACACTTACAGTGGTCCTCAATGCCCTTGCTATTGACCCTGGTAGGAAATGGAAAGGTATGTTTTCTTTCTTTCCTTTTTTATGCCACCTTCCCCTTTTATTTTACCTTTTCATTTCTTCAAGCATTAAAGGGTAAGAGAAAAACTTACTTAACAGGCCCTTGGAGGTGGTTTGATGATTCCATGTTAGATTGTTGTGAGCCTTTGGCCAAAATTAAATCACAGGGCATTACTTTTGGAAAAGTTGCATGCTTGACTCGATGTAATGGAGCTAAAGTTGAAGCCTTTCGATCCGATGAATGCACGGTCCATGATTTTTGCAACCGTGTGATTTCTTCTTGTTCTTCTGAGGATTTTCATGTGATTGTGTCTTACCACAGGAAAGCATTCAATCAGGTGTTGTAAAGGTCATTCTTGATTGTTATCTATTCATAACTAATGTAATAGAATTGAATCTTCCTGCATATGCTTTCTTTTAGTTGACTTCAGTTCTTAGTAAAGTCTACTTCAAGGCCTGTTTCAATTTTGAGTTTGATGAATTCAAGATTCTGAATAAATTTTGCTGTACTTTAAACTTAATAAGAATTGCCACTTGATTAATTTTTTTTTCTTGTATCATTCCCGAACATTTAGCAGTTGATTGCCTTTATTTTTTTCCCCTACAACTTTATCCCTTTATCATTAATAAATTAGGATATCAATTATTTATTATTCCATAAAGGTTGTTGGTGCAATTCATCAAATGCACATTGATGGACATGGTGATGCCGAGAAAACTTGATTCTGAGAAAACCAAGGGAAAATGCAAACTTTATGTAGGATCTCAGTCCTTAGCAAATAAGGATCTTATTTCTATTTATAAAAAAAAGTTGACTGTATTCAAATATTGAACAATGTTAGCAAATTAAAAAAATAGCCATGTTTGGCTAAAAAAAATTTTATTAAAAAAAATATATTAGCCACGGTTAAGACGTGCCTAAATAAAGATATTAAATTTCTTTTACTGTAATTAGCTACGGTTTCAAACGTGGCTAAATATCAAAATTTATATTACAGTTGGGCTATTTCACGTCGGTTTCCAATGATATAACGTCGTTTTTTATTTTAGCGTCGGTTATTCTGTCGGTTTTGTAAACCGTCGCAAAATTATTTATTGGCGCCAAATTCAATGTCGATTCAAAATTGACGGGGATTTTTTTAGCGGCGGTTTGAATCGCCGCTAAACCCAAATTAAATCGCCGCAAAATCCATTATTTCCTGTAGTGAGACATAGGTTTTTTTTTTATCTTTTTAATAAAATCCTTGTTTCTTATTATATACTGGAATAATGATTTTACTATTAAGTAATACTTACAGTGCATTATTATTTAGTAAAAAAAATTAGTATTTATGAAAATTTTATCGGTTTATTTTTCAATAAAAATTAGTTAAACAAGATTTTGTATAGCCTTCTCAACTTTTTTGTTGTAACAAATCAAGTAATACTTAAATTTTAAAATACTTTTTTACAATTTTATTTATTTTTACTATATTTTTATACTTTTACAATTTTTAAAAGTATAAAAGGATATTCATAACTATTGAAGTTATTGTGTATTGGTGTTATGGATTTTAAAAACTTATTTATGATTTTATAATTAATAAACATTTAATTGAAGACTTAGTTAAATTATAAACATTGAAATTCTATTCAATTTTTTTAAATAATATGAAACTTTTTAAAATTTAATTTAATTATAATTATTTACAAAGAAAATTATCTATTTATAAAGCCTTAAAGACAAATGTCGACAGTTTAGTATTTGTTATTTTGTTTAAAAGAATTTGAGAGGCTTTTTGATCCTTTTGCCCTTCATTAATTAAAAAATAACCATTTTGTCCTTACCCAAAACTATCCACCAACCTGCCCCTTTTTAGTTGATTAAGCTCGTAATTTAATCGATTAAACGGTCAAAACGCATAAAACGTTGACCCGTGATTTAATCGATTAAATTTCTTTCTTAATCCATTAAATCATGCCAAAAACCTTTTTTAAAACCCTGTTATTTAATCGATTAAGACCATTATTTAATTGATTAGATCACGACATATCGATTTTTTAAAAACCCTCCATTTGGCAGAAGGAGTTATATTGGAACCCTAATCGATTAACCCTCCAAAGAAAAGCCCAAACTCGAGATTTTGCCCACAAATCTTCGTCCAATCGTGTGGATTCAGAAGACAAGGTCTCCTACTAGTTTCTTCATCTTGCATGGTATGTTTGCTTCGATTTGCATTATTTTTTTCTTGTTATTTTTCGAATTTAGGAAGTGTAGACTGAATAGGTAGGGCTTTGGTTCGATTTGCATGATGTTTTCTTTTATTCTATGTTTTGATGGTTGTTTAGTTTAGGGTTTTGATGAATGTTGATTGATTTAGGGTTTTGTTTTCATAGTTTTTTATTATTATTATTTTGGACAAAATTGTGGGTTCTGATTTTGTTTTTATTATTATTATGTTTTATTGGTTGTTGATACATTATGATGTGTTATTGTAGGTTTTCGTTGTTGTAATGGTTGGCCGCAGACGATCAAACAACACTGACGGCAAGAGACAGACGAAACAACGACAAGATCAGCTTTCTTCTTTAAGGCCACAAGAGCCTAAGCCTGAGTCCATCGACCTCCCATTTGGGTATCGGTTTGAGGATGACCCCTCCGTGCATGCTCCATTTATATGTGATCATGTGAATAGACCCATATGTCAGCCAAAATCTCCATCTCGTTATTAGGATGCACCCAATTAATGAAGGAATAATGTGGGCTTTTATTCCAAAATGGCTCAATCTCAGGCCCTACGTCTAAATGTTTACGTTTTTGCCAGTACCAATAACAATACAAATATAAAATGTTAAATAAAAACTTTAATTTACTAACTTACTACTGCTAACTGGGTCAACATGGAGTGGTGGCATAATCGGGGAACTCAGGTTTACTGGAGTCGTGTTAACATCAAAATCACCCTCCACGTCAGTATCTGAGGTGTCACCTAGTGAAATAACACTCTCAGATTCACCGTCTTCATCATTCTCCACATCCTCCTCCTGCTCATCCTCATCTATTTCCCTCAATGTTATATGACTTATGACAGGTGCAGGTGCAGATAAACCAGCAACTCTGTCTTCTTGACCAAATTATTATGGACTTCTTGTATGCATAGGTGCAGATGAAGATTGACCATAATCAATTTCAACATATATCTCAATAAAATTTTGAAATTTTCGGTCAACAGTTGCATCTATGACACATTCCACATCTTCATCATCACACATTCCACATTCCAAATTAATGTAGTACATAACATCCTTACCAACTGTAGAATCTACCCTAGCTATCATCCGATGGATGTATTGGCTACCTTGTAGCCTTAATTTTTGGTGAATTCTCCCTTTGAGCTCGTTGTATGTAGTGTCCCGCTTGATTTTTAACATTTTCATTTTTCTTTCAAATTAAACACCATTGGGACCTTCAAAATACCTTCCATTGTGGTAGATCACTGTAACATACATGTTTGAACTTGAGCTCATCTTTCACACGAATTTGGGACTAGGGTTGGGATTTTTGGGGTTTGGGTTTGAATTTTTCCAACAACAAGGAATATGTAAGTGCAATAACAATGATTTCACAAGATTAAGCTTTAGAGATGGTGGGATAAAATAGCTTCTTGATAGGTTGGATTACATATGAGAAATGTAAGAACTCGCACCGTTAATTAAGGAAGTTAATCAATTAATTATGAGAAATTAGAAAATAATTTCATAATTGACCCTAATAATTATTATGAGGCTTAAATAATTATAGTAAGTGAGTAATAATGCTGAAAGTCGCTTTTCTGATGAAAAGTGCAGATACCGGTTTTGCTACTCGGTATAAATGCGTACTGATGAAGTGTCCCGGAAAATTAAAATAAGTGCATGAATATTACTAGAATGATATGTAGGACTGTGATTTCAAGTTTCAAGTTAAAATAATGAGAACTGGTGCCAGAACTGATACTGGCTATGGAAAATCGCATACCGAAAAGGTGCTGCGAAAAATAAAATAAAAATATGATAAATCTTAGAAAAATGATTAGGTTCAGATTCCAAAGTTAGAGATTAAAATGATAAGCGTAGCAATTAGCACTAATACTGTGTGATTAAAACTAATTAGACTATATATAGGTGTGCACAAGTTTCTAGGTCAGAAACTTGACATTCTCTACGTGAGAATTTGCTGAGTTTGAGCTATCACCTTCTTCCTTTGGCTCCCTTGCATGATTCTTCTCTTTTAGCCTTATAAACACATAGAGGTGTGTATTTGGAGGGTGAAAGCCTTCATCTTTCTGAGTTTTGTTGCTGTTTGGTGAGAGTTTGGGAGCTGAGTTCCTTGGATTGAGTGGTTGAAGCCATTTTCTTGGTGGTTGGTACTCCAAGAAGCAATCTTTGTAAAGAAAAGACCTTGCTTGCTTGGTATTTTCGTGCCTTTGTGAAGTCAGAATTGTAGAGGCTGATTGGTGAGCTCCAAGAGCCATTGTTGCTCTGTTTTGAGCTTGGGTAAGTGTCACCAACCTTGATCATGAGTTTCCTTAGTTAAAAATGAAGTCTTGATGCATGTAATGGATTAAAGTTGATAACTTAAGGTTGGGTAAGGTTAAACACACCTAGAAATGCATGTGTAAGCCTCTGGAATCGTAAAATGACCACCTTTGGATTGATATCTCGCGAAATGCACAACTGCATTCTGTCGCGAAATATCTGGATATGGATATCTGGATATTGATATCCGGATATGGGGTTCTGAATATCTGAATAATGATATCCGGATATTGCCATACATATATCCGGATATTGATATCCGGATATACCCCCGACATATATCCGGATATTTTGAGTTTTCGAGAACAGTAACAGTACTGTTCATACAGAACTGAGTTATGGGTTTGTGGACCCTAGATTGATGAAGTTGGACTTCTGTAATGACTTGTTAAGTCAGAATCTAAGTGATTAAGGGCTTGTGGCTTTGTGAGAAGCCTTAAGACATAAAACGTAAGGAAAGGCGTTGTCTTTATGTCATATAATTGTTAAGTATGATTATTGATATGATGATTGGTCCAAAACATATTGTGATTCTGCTGTGTTAGGACTTTGAGCTTGTGTGGACTCTTGGCTTGGATAGCTAGCTTGCAAGGTAAGCTTTCGTGTCCTCGGTTTAGCCATTGTATGTTCCACCATGTCCCATGGGGGGATGGTTATATGCATGATGTGTTTTCATGTACTGTTTTACTGAAATGCTATAGAGCTGTTAAGTGCAAAATGCTTATGATATGTATGTGGTGTTTCGCCTAGCCAGGAAGCCATGGGGTGGTCTTGGGGGCCGGTACAGCATGGGCTGGTACTATGTGGGTAATAGACGTATTCCTGCACTTCTCTGATTAATAGAATAGTTATAACACACATGACATGATTATCTGCTGCATTGCACTGATTTTAGAACTGATATTGAATTACTGCTTTTGGAACTTATATTGCACATGTAAATGAGCTTGGGGTGGAAGATCCTTGAGGACCCCTTGTCTTATTGAGATTTCTGTTTAGAGATCTCACCTCATGTTTGGGGCGCTTATTTCAGGTTCAAGTAACTTGGGGGCTGATGCCTCTGGCGGCAGGAGGCCGGAGCTTAGTTGATTTATATATGTTGTATGCTGACATGACTGGATATTGAATGTTGTTTATGTTTTCTGTCATTATATGAGTATTGAGCTGAGACTCTTTATGGGCTTTGTTGCCTTATTTGGTGAGCAGGGGGTTTGTCCATACCACATTGATGATTAGTATGTTATTGTTGAGTTGTATAAACTATCAGGGTTTGTCCGGTCTACGTGTTGTAGTTCCGTGACTAGAGACACATTGATGTCATATATATTTATAAGGTATTTCAGTTAGCTGTCTATTTGCAATTTACATACAGGCGATGTTTTGAAATGATTAAGTAATCAAGTTGGTAATTGATAATGACGTCATAATTGAACAGAAAAAGATATTCCGCAAATTTTAATTAAGCGTGGCTTAATATGATGACATGTTAACAAACTGGGTTAACACAGGGTGTTACAAGAAACAAGAGAGATTTTGGTGTAAAAAATGGGTATAGGTGAAATGAGACCAAGACATGTAAATATAGGATTTCTGGCATGATTTAATCGATCAAGAATGAGATTTAATCGATTAAATCATGGGACAACGTTTTATGCATTTTTTATCGTTTAAGCGATTAAATTACGAGCTTAATCGATTAAAAAAGGACAAGTTGGTGATAGTTTTGGGTAAGGGACAAAAGAGTCAAAACGCCATGAATTCTCTGATATTTTATTTTAACATAACTAGGTCATATGAATATCAATTATTCAATGATAAATCAAAAGTCAACAATTAATTTCTTTTTAACTTTTTAAATTTTATCAACAAAATTATGACCATTGATCTGTATTGAGATTCATCACATGACAGAATTATGTTAAAATTAGAGTTGAGAGAATCAATTACCATAAGACTTATCTCTGTGTGCAATTATAATTATTTATTATTAGATAAATAATATTTTTTAAACATTCTAAACTACTGGATTTAAATTTGGAGGATTCAGACAATGTGAATCCATATTTTAATATAACTTTATCTCTTTTATGTTATTTAAATGTTAATAAAAGTGAATTTTTAAATATTAGATATAATATATATATATATATTAACTTGATAGTTAATTTTATTGTAAATATCATAAAAAAATGAATAAAATTCAATTATAAGTAAAGAAGAAAATATCTTTCACTTAAAATCGTTCAAAACAATAATTAAAAGTAAAGAGATTATTATTGAATTGTTAAAATATATACACATTATATATATTCTATAGAGTTGTATATGTAAAGTATATTTTTATTAATATATTATGTTTATATACAATTTATTTTATATTTGTATATATATATATATATATATATATAAATATATATATATATATATATATATATTATATGAGATAGAATCATTTGACATTAGTCTCAAAAGAAAATTTCTTACACTTCATTTGAATTATTGATTTTCGTCGATCTAATGGTTGTAATTTATTGGGTTACATGCATTAATTAATTACTAATTCTCAATAAATTACCATCATGAGATTGACGAAAATGAACGGTTCAAATGGGGTGTCAAAGGATCTCGTTGGCCCATTATATTATATTATATTATATTATATTATATTATATTATATTATATTATATATGTTCATTATTTTTAAATAATATAAATTTTGGTAAAGAAAAAAATTTGGCTCACAGATGAGCTCCAGCCCAACTCGCTAAATCATAGAGCTTACGAGTTAGGGTTAGCAAAGACCCTATCAATCAAATGATGGTAGCTCAGTTGGCGTATGAGAACTGAGCAGGTGAGGTGAGAGTATGTGTTCAATCTTCCTCAATACCATCTTTGAGAGGGGTTTAATACTTTAATCTTAAATTTGCCCCGAACAGAATCGCCTCCCGTAAAAGATATCTGTGATTTATTAAAAAAAAAAACCTACCATAAAAAAAGCTTAGTGGATTAGAGGCAAATATAGAATTTATGGGTTGACACACGACTTTTAGCCCATTTTGACATCTTTAACTATTTCAATAAAAAAAATTAATCTTTTTCTTTCTTATCTATAAAGGGTGTGCATGACAACCATTCTGTTTCCTGGCACTATTTTT